CCAGACTCAATTTTCTTGAGCAAATTTCGATAATTTGTATCAAAATCTTTTTTTCGAAAATCAATATAGAGCAATTCAACTGAAATTAGGCCAAGCCATCATCAGGCTCGTATTTTTCTTGGAGTCTTTATGGGAGAAGTCGTTTACGTTTCCTACATGCATCTGTTAATTCTTTAGGACAATTGTCCTATTGTCTATATTTTTCAGTCATTTCAAAAAGAACTATGGGTGTGGAGGTGAGGTGGATGGGTGTGGCTGTTGTTCTCTGCTTTGCTACACTCACAACCACACCCACACCCACACCCTCAATTATTAAAAATGCATAATAGAAATAAAATTTTATTTTAAATTCTAATAGAATAAGATAAATTGAAATAAGGGTTTTTAAATTGGTTTTAATAAATAATCAACTGAATTTATTTCATTGTTCAAGATTATTAAAATGATTTTTTAAGAAAACAAATTAAAAAAGCAGAATATTAGAATTCGTATAATTACTAGAAACAACAAATGATTAAAAAGAAGATTAAAAAAATTGATAATATTCAAATAGTTATATATATTCATTGAAAATGTTCAGAAATCCTTTAATTAAATAATTTCTTTCATCGAATTCGATAAAGTCAAATAGTTGTTCTCATGAAATAAATTTCTTTTTGCAATCGAACTACTGGTTAAGATACGAAGCACTTTACAGTAGCGAGTCGTGCGCTTTCTTTCTTTCTTCTTAGACGTACACAAGTGAAGTGAACAGTTTGTATTGTAATGATCTTAAAAATGGAAAATAAAAGAAATCGTCATTCAGACTTTAGATGATAGTAGGAAGAGCAAGATTGAATCGATAAAAGTGAAAAATTTTTCTTAAAGATTTTGATATTTTTAAAGGTTTAATATGATTACTAAATAGTATTCGAGTTTCTCTCGAATATGAAATATTCGGGAAAGATATAAATTTTCTATATTTGAAAACGAAAATGATTCTTCGATGAAAACTTTAACTATTGTTGAGAAGACATATTCATTGAAATTTTTTGTTAAGAAATATCTTCATATTTCTTTTGTTTGTTGTTTGGAGAATCGGCATTCAAATATCGTTCAATAAATAGATTCCAGTCTAGTTTGAATTATAACTCATTATAAATTTTTTAGGAAAATTTAATATGATTCTCGATCATTAACATAGAATTAGAATCATCGGTTCTAACAGTATATAATGAAACAAAATCTCTACGAAGCTTCTATTAAAATTTAGAAACTATCCTTTCAATCACAGACTCTTTTGAATTTAATCTTTTTCTCTATATATCGAACGATTTAACACAACATAGAAGGCTTTTCGAAAATTGATTACATTAATACTCATGCTTTGTCGAATATTAATATTCTTTAGAACAATATTGATAGATTATCAAAGAGTATTCGCAATAGTGAATCATACAATGGACACTTTTCAACTTCTGTAAAATCTCTATCAACTAATCAATGAAAATGCAACTTTCTTAGTTATAGCGATTGATAGAAACATCTGTTATCTGACTAATAGAAATAACTCAAAGAGATACTTCATTCGCTTTGAATTTGTAATCGAGTTTTATTTGTTTTTTTTTGAAAAATTGTTTATTTGACATAGTTTATATTTGTACTTTGCGTTTGTATTGCATCCTCGATTATGTCGAGATGCCAGTGCATCTAGTTTAAAATTTTCATTAGAACTAATTCACTTCGAATATTATAGATGATAAGATTTATTTTCAAATAGTTTCATGTAGATTTCGGATTACTCTAACATTTTAAAAGAATACTTATGAAAAAAAACCATGAAATATATTTTTAAAAATATATCAGAAATACTTTCCTTTAGACATAATTTCCAATAATATTTACTATAATAATTCGTCGATGTTTAATAGAAGAAGTAGAATTTGAATAAATACTACAAAACAAGTTATAAACCAATATCGAAGGATAAAACAAATTTATGTGAATTTGAAATCTTTCTATCAGTGTTCTCTGTTTGAGAAGTTCATTTTATTTGGGGTGTGGGTATGGACGTAGAAACAGAAGGAGAGTCACACTCACATCCTGTTCACCGAACATTCTTCAACAAGAATATCATCTAGATAAAAACGAGTTCAAATGACTTCATTAAGAAGAAACATTTTGAAGATATTTAGTATGCTTATAAAATTCTTTCGAATGACATTGACGATGATGATGAATATACTTGGCGATGTGAAACTATTCTATAGATTAATAAAGAAATTACTTGCAATATTATTGAATGTCTGAATTGTTCAATGAAAATTCAATTGAATAATAAATAAAAGTTGTTGTTTTTTTTGTTCATCTTATTTTCTGTTAACTTTTGAGTGATAATAAGTGAATTATTTTTATGCAACCAAGAGAAATATTTCATATAACTCATCAGTCTTCATATATCTATCTATATATACATAAGTATCTGATAAATTTTTTAAACATAATAAAGGACGGGGGACGATTTCTACAGAAATCGGCCCAATTGAATTTTAATGATCTGCTCGGGTAGAAACAAAGGAAATGATGGTAGAAAGTATACCTTATGGTTTTCAACTGATTTTGCTAGATGTTTACAAGTCCAGGATCCGATTACTTCTTCAATTTTCTGTGTATACATAGGGGCATCTTTTGGTTGTCTAGTTTTACATATATGTACTTGTTACTTAATTCAAACCAAATGAATTATATATCAGTAGATAGGCCGTGAAAAATACTTCAAAATCCTATATGACAATCGTTTATCAAAAATGTAAACAAATAATTTCTTGCCGAAATACTTGTTGAATACCGTTCAATTACTGCGTTGGTGTCCAGTATAAACCATCCTATGTGCTGAGTTAGAGTTTTCCCACTATGAATTTGATACCATTCGATAGAGTTTTTCACGGGCTACAAATCCATGTATAGTTTGTTTGCAAATAAAGCTGTGAACATCTCTCGAGTCCAGATTGTTTTGTTTAGATCAGCAAAAATGGCATTTTTTGGCCGATATTCAGAGGTTTTGGTCATAATTATTACTTTTTTAGCCAAAACAAATGGCATATTCAAAATCACCATGAAAAATAGGGTCGATGTATGTGTGTTCCAAACTTTCCTAATGACTTTTATTTTCGGTCAAAACCTCAGGCCTGGTCCACCTCCGGGCTTCCTCAGGAAATAAGTCGAAAAATAAAAGTCATTAGGAAAGTTTGGAACATACATACATCGACCCTATTTTTCATGGTGATTTTGAATATGCCATTTGTTTTGGCTAAAAAAGTAATAATTATGACCAAAACCTCTGAATATCGGCCAAAAAATGCCATTTTTGCTGATCTAAACAAAACAATCTGGACTCGAGAGATGTTCACAGCTTTATTTGCAAACAAACTATACATGGATTTGTAGCCCGTGAAAAACTCTATCGAATGGTATCAAATTCATAGTGGGAAAACTCTAACTCAGCACATAGGATGGTTTATACTGGACACCAACGCAGTAATTGAACGGTATTCAACAAGTATTTCGGCAAGAAATTATTTGTTTACATTTTTGATAAACGATTGTCATATAGGATTTTGAAGTATTTTTCACGGCCTATCTACTGATATATAATTCATTTGGTTTGAATTAAGTAACAAGTACATATATGTAAAACTAGACAACCAAAAGATGCCCCTATGTATACACAGAAAATTGAAGAAGTAATCGGATCCTGGACTTGTAAACATCTAGCAAAATCAGTTGAAAACCATAAGGTATACTTTCTACCATCATTTCCTTTGTTTCTACCCGAGCAGATCATTAAAATTCAATTGGGCCGATTTCTGTAGAAATCGTCCCCCGTCCTTTTTCTCTCAGAAATCTATTTGTAACCTTGTATCTCAATTTGTTATAATAAGAATATCATACGATCAAAATTTTCATACTGATTACAAATATATTTTTTTCATATTTATAAAACAAAATGTTTTCTGAATGATCTAAAATTTTGGTTAGAGTTAAATCCGAAGCGAAAGATTATCTTTCGATCTATGTGTTTGTGTAGAAAATGACTTTTGAATAATGAAATATGTCTATTTAGGCGTCTAAATAAAGAATTCATTCAAGAAAATATAAACGATGCTTCTACAATGGCATATTGGGCTTCATTCGAATTTTTAAATTGAAAAAGACATTATTAACTTCTAATAGACTAATACATTATTTTAATACCATATAATTCACATATACTTTGTAACAATTTGGGTGTGTGTGGACAGCTTAGTGCACTCCTCACATATGAATTGTTTTGGGTGACTATCGTATGGAGCTGAACTTATACATATCATTGTAAGATATGAACATGGCGAAAGAATTATATGCTATTTTGAGGTTTTTTTAATAATGAATTTATCATTAAAACATTTGAAAATCTGTAAAAATGACAAGACCATAAATCAAAACATTGAATTATTGACTATTCTTTTCTCTTCGATTAAATGAGTTCTGAGTACTGCAAACTAGATGTTAATATAGTGCGAGATCGTATTCCTTCTAGAATAAAATCAATAGAGAATAAAAAACGTTGTTAAAATTTCTTATGGATTTGTAGCAGGCTATAAGATTTCTAAAAATTTTTTTAAAGATTTTACACAGAATATTTATTCTTCGAAAGTAATCAAGTATCTTCATTATCGAGAACAAATCATTTCTAACGAGTCAATATCATTGAAAAAATTTTGATTATTTATTGAAAAAGAATCTTCATTGTTTGAGTTTGAAAATTGAGAAGTTTGTATTCGATCTTTTTAAGATATAGACGAAGAATCAGATGTATTGGATAATCACATCTCGAATATTAGAAAAGAAACTGAAGAATGCACGTCGACTTCATTATTTGGTCGATTAGTCAGTTATACTTATCCTTTGAATTAATCCAAGCTATGTCATCATTAAATTAGATGTGTCATATGGGTGAATATGATAAATCAGACAAATATTTTTAATGTCTTTTTTCTACTTTACCAGTAAATCGTGAGGACATTCTGAAAATCTATTTTCATCTTGGTCGTGTTAATTATTTTCGTGGTGATTCGAGACAGGTTCTGGAATATGATGAACATGCATTAACTTTACAAAAGAAACAAATTGAACTTCAGCGAAACTCTTTCGATATAGCACAAACATTACATAGCATTGGAAATATTTATCTAAATAAGAAACAACTAATAAAATCATTAAAATATCTTCAAGAAGCTTTAGAAAAAATGTTACATTTATTTCAAGAAGCTTATGAGATAAAAAAAGTAGGATTAGCAACGAATGATCCATTACTTGCTGATTCATTAGATCATCTTGGAATAGTCTATCAAGAAATGGATGATAATGATAAAGCCATAGAATGTTACAAAAAAGTATTAAATATAAAACGAAAAACTTTACCATTGACACATCCATCATTGAGTGCATCTTTAAATAATTTAGGCGTTATTTATCGACAACAAGACGACTATGATCAAGCCCTAGAATATTATATCCAAGCACTCCAAGTCGAAACAATAGCATTAGCATTTGATCATTTAGATCTTGCCGATACATATAATAGTCTATGCACACTTTGTTGTGATCAAGCAAAATATAAAAAAGCATTAGAAATGGCTGAATTGAGATTAAATATATTGAAAAAACATTTTGGTGATGATAATGAACAAGTACAACAAACAAAACTTAATATTGGTGAAATAAATGAAGAAATAAATAGACAGTCGCCATACAATGAGCAGCTTGGACTTCAAACTGAATTTTGAATGTAAACCGAAACTTAAAATTATTTTTAAAATACTTATTCAAGAATCATCTTTTTAAAGAATTGTAAACTTAGATATGTGTTTCAAAAAAGCAGAATGAAGGGAGAAAGAGATTCTTCTAAAAAAATCGTATCAAAACCGAGATTCCACAGGTACACAGTCAAGAAAACTAAACAAATTATATAAAAGACGAAAAATGTCGGAAATTTGCAAACGTATGATTTCTTGTGGTTTGATTTTTTTTACAAGAATGACAACACCAGTTGTCGACATTGTACATAGTAAACAAATGAAAATGATAGCCAACAGTTTTTGTTCTTTAACTAATTAGAGAAGAACAGACAACTCTGATTCAGAATGCTCATCGTTTTCATAAAGTTATCAGACATTCAATTAAAACTTAATTAGATCGATTGAACTTCTCGTTCATTTTTTCTTCTTCCAAAGTATATTTCTCATTCAATAAATTTCTTATCAGCCCTAGTCGAACATCTTGTAAGCAAGATCTTGATCAAGATCTTAGGTACAGAAAAGTGAGTAGATCTTGAAAATTTAGGTACAAGATAATATGATTATCTTGTACCCAAGATCTTGAATTAGATCTTGGGTACAGACATGTAAGATCTTGGGTACAGATTCATAAGATCTTAGGTACAGATTTATAAAATCTGAAGTATAGATCTATAAGATCTTAGGTATATTCTAAGATAAAAAGTGTTGCAGGTCTCGTGATTTGCGACACAATCCATGATACAATCTGAAAGCGTGATTCAAATCTATTATATAGCATATTTATTATTATTTTTTTCAATAAAAGCATGTTATGAAATTTTTTCAATTTATCTTCATTTTAATTATTCCTATTCCGAATAACTGAAGCAAGCCCGATCTTGGAACCTACTTGTTCTTGAGATGGTTCAGTCACCATCAGACGGCTTCAGGTAGTCCTCTCTCGATCAGCGATCGAGATCGGCATTTTCTCGAGTGATTAATGGCCGAGAAAGAGTTTAGAAGAAAAATTATTTTGAAAAATGTATGTCTCATATGTTCAATCACGTTGCTTATATACGGCTCTGCATGCATAAAAAAACGGTGAATGACTAGTCGGTACATAAATACTAACGATATCGTTCTTTTACTCAAGATCTTGTGACAAGATAATAGTAAAAGATATCATTTCTCTGATCTTGACAAGATCTTAGACACAGATGTATCCGATACACGCAAGCTGTTCACATATAAATTATCTTTTCATGATCTTGTCAAGATCTTGCTTATCGATCCCAAGATGTCAAGATCTTGCTTGCAAGATGTTCGACTAGGGAGATGATTTAGCGAACACAGCCAATGAGTTTTTTTACAGAACGTGTTTTACTGCATTTTTTCGCATAGAAAAATATACAAAATGAATTGTTTTATATTCCAAAAGCATTTATTATTGAAATAGAATCAGAATTTCCAGCTCATTCTTCGCTCTTTAATATTTTATCAAAAACTATTTAACGTGAATTTTTTCATCTCGTTTTTACTCGTTTCTTCTTCGACTGGTACAATTAGACTGTTCACATAGAAGTAAAAATATACCTTGCTCGTTTTCAACATTTCTACAAGTAATTGTGCACCATGATCTCTGATATTACTATCAATGCTGATTGCAGTCAATGTTTACAAGACAAGGAACACATCATACGTTTTGCAAATCTGATTATTTGCACAGTGAAGACACGAGAAAAAAGAATGAACAGAGAAATCCTTTTATAAAACTCAATGTCAACAAATTCAGATAAATGATTACTCTCAAAGTTTTCAATAGATCTGTTGTATTTGTTAATGAATTTCTCAGCTATGCTTTTTGTCCAAATAGATTTGTTTAATCAGCTGTTTTCTTTTCATTTAAAGCTCAATAGCTAGCAAATCTCACCAATAGAATCAACTATGATTTCCTTTTTTACTACATGAACTTTTTATTTACTATATTTTCTTTAAATATGACAAATAAAACAAAGTTAACAATGTTCTTAACTTCACAGACAAAAAATTGAAGTATCTTTTATAAGGACTATTCATAAATTTACAATTCAATATAAGATTATTTCTAAAACTCTGTGTATCATCATTAAACGTAATAAATTCTGAAATGACTTTACACGATTGTAACTTTAATCTCCATTAAAGTCTCTAAGAGTCGTAAAAAGTAGTTGATTTAAACCAATTAAAAACAAGCATGGACCAAAAAATTAATTACATTTTTAATTAGTCAAAATTTACAAGAAAGTACGTATACATATATACCAACTGTCGTCTTCAGAAAATGAATCTTCTGAATTTTTAGATATGTTAAAACTCATGGAAATCAAAGATTAATACAATCGAAATATCTTGCATATATGCAACATTAGTTGATACTATCGCAAATAATCCTTAGATGAATCGATTATCTACTCTCAAAGTTTTTATTATTTCCCAAAAGCTTTTATCTTAATACACCAATTCGAAGAACTCTCAACAAAAAAACAGTGAATATTGAAAAAAAAACTATTCATTGAACAAAAGATGTTATGTTTTATTGAGATACGAGTATTCTAAATTCACAAAAAGATTTCCAAGTTTGTCTTTCACACAAATACTGTGGTTCTACGCTTTTAATGTTTTCAAAGTTCTTCTTGTTACCTCAACAATACAAAATCATGTCTATGGTATCGGTGTGAGTGTATGGCTGTGGCTGCGGATGATAAGATAAACCACACCCACACTCACATCCATATTGAGGATTTTGTACTTCAAACATGAAAACCTGGTGCATGAAAAAATGGAAGACATCTAATCTCACTCTTTATTGAAGTATGAACAAAATTTAATTATACAACTACACAATAGCATGAAAGAATTCTACATTTCAATACTTATAATCTTAGTTTGATATTTTCGTATTATGACACACGACAAGAGTCATTCCATACTTCCGACGGTGTCAACTCATTGATTGGTACATATTTTAATCTGTGTATATTATAACTGGTGGCTGTCAAGACCACTAAATAATCTGTTCCAAATTGAATTACATTATATGGATGACCATAATGATACCTTGGGGTCATCCGAAGTATGTTGTTCTCTGTGATATGATGAATATTGTACGTGCCTGGATCTTTCATAAGCCAACCACTTGAGCCAAGTGACGAGATACGACATTCATTATGCCCATGTGCGTCTTTAATAGTTATCGAAAATAAACAAGTGTATGTTGTGGTTGATAGAATTTCTACTTGAGGTTTTGTTCCACATCGACCATTAATAACTAAAGCAAGTTTACCATCATGATAAGACATACCTTCAATACATTTCTTTTCATGACACGTAAAAACAGACTTAACCGATAGAAGATCCGAACATGAATATGCTAACACTTGTTGAATTTCATGATAGGTACTAAGATAGAGTATATCATCCGAACACGTGCATGTTTTGTAGAAATTTTCTTCAAGTAGCTTTTCGCATTTCATGGTTTGTGAATCCATAATAAATGCACTGGCACTAATAGTCATATAAATTTTATTGAGCTTTGTGTTCCAGCATATATCATGATTCGATCCACGAGTCCATTCAGTTTTTCGAGCCACTTTCAATTTTGAATCGAGAAAACAAAGATTGGAAGCATTATAAATTAACAGATATTGTTCGTTGGCAACTAGAATATCACCACTATTTCTTATTCTCTCGATTGTTTGGATTGGTTCGCCCAGTTGACATATATCAAGTACATTGGCTGTACATACAGAAGAGGTTGTACTAAAATATATACAATAAAACTAAGCTATATACAATTTCGAACTTGGTTTGCTAGATACAATATGAAAAGGGTTGAAACTATTAGACTTGACGTCAATTATAGACGATAAGTATTTATGACAAACATGCAAAAAGAACATCAAGAAGCTCCTACACTTAAAAGTAATATGTGGAACGACTGTCAATCTAATAGTATAATTTCCCTAGATCTATATATTCTGAGAAGTTGTATAGTTTTGATACATTTTGATTATAACTCATATTTCGTTACATTTTCATAGTTAAAATACATCATTATCGGAAATCTAACAAAACACATGATAAATCTATTTTATCCAATTGATAGACGGCAGTAAATAGTTGATTGAGTCATGCTTGATCTTCTGAGAAATTTTGATTGCCTTTTTCAAAATAGTTATTTCAGTTGACATTCCAATAAGTTCAAGATACTAGATATTTTCTGCAAGCTAAACAAGTAAACAAAGTACAAACATCTAAATAGTCTGGCAGTGTTCGAAATTCAATACGAAGCTGAAACAAACCTAATGTGGCAAATTTTATTAAGTGACGCTCGATTAAAATAAATGACTTTAAATCCCAACTTTTTGCTTTTCTCTGTTACTGTTTCGGAATAGTATCGTTTTATTCTAACGATATTTTGACCAATAAGAACATATGATCAGTACTCAACAATTTGATTAGCTTTTACTTTTCGTATTTTCAAAGTTTGAACTCATAATAACTAAATTCAACAGCATCTTTTCGATGCTTCTATTTTTCTGTTCTTATTCAGAAGAAATCTTTTTATGATCTATAAACAGTTATAAGGTATTTGATAAAGTTTGGTCTTTGTTTTCATTTCAAATTCAATAAGCTAAAGAGATCCGTTGTAAATACGAATGGAAACTCGTTCATATTCTTTTTGTGCAACGAATGGCTCAAATTCTGTAGAAAACAATAAAATTGAATGACCTTATCCACTGCTTTTCATCTGACCAAAACATATTTGTGATGATTGAGGAGAAATGCTCACCAATGATACAGTCCTTCTTTCATTCTGACATGCCACATTCTATAGTGTATATTTGAAATAAGTAAAGTTTTAAAAAATTCGTGTTTATCAGGAGTGGCCCGACTGGAGAGGGGAGCGAGGTGACACGCCTCCAATCCTCAAAAATTTTCGCTTTTTTCCGGTAAAATCAAGAAGTTTTCTTGCATTCTGTGAACAAAAAATTATGTTACACCCTCTCAATATTCGTTGATTCGGGCCATCCCTAGAGTTAATGATCCACTCATTAATCAGCATGACGGTCTTATTGAAGTTTTGTCTGTGGTTAAGCATTACAAGAAAACTTAAAATAACACATTTTGATCTGAAATTTTACTTAAAGATCGATATAATAATCGTCATATAGATAGCTTGTCAAATTTCAACTCAATGAAATATTTAGTTTTTAATATTTAATAAAAATGATTTTTCGTATCAACCTATACTAAAATTTATGATTTTCTAAGCATCACTACTTTTTGTTTTTCTTTTCATTGAGGTATCGTTGAATAGGAAAGAAAATATTGACAAGCTCGAAAAATAAGATAATCAAAAGTCAAACCTGTTTGGTGTCTCGTTTATCTTTAAGTTCGTCAGATGAGCAACAGATTTATCGACGTCAAGTATATCCTTCGACAGTAATGTACCATATTTTATTTCATATTGATTGATGTAAAAATCTCTCTCCTCTTCTTTACATTTGATTATTTTGCTGAGAATAGAATACTTAAAACGATCTTGTTCGTTGAGTCTTTCCATTTCACTTCTCACGAACGAAGCTGCTCCAACTTTTGCTTGCTGTTCTGTTACTTGATGAGTTTTGTCTGCCGAGAACTTTTTTGCACAGCAACAATCAGGATCCAAACCATGTCTACAGTGAATAATACGATTTAAAATTTTTCGACGACCTCTACTCGGATAGCTCATGTTTCTTTCTTCAATTGCTTGGAACCGATCGGCATCTTCCGCTTGCGCTACGATGTCGCCATCACAGCTCATTAGTTTTTTTGAAGCGGTTTTATCACTAGATAAGACCATTGTTTCTAGAGTAAATATAAAATAAAGTAATCTATGGTAAAAATTGTTTAAATGAGCAAAATCTACATTTGTTTTCATGACTAAAATAAACAAAATTTAGCTTAGCCACGTTATATAATCAGCATAAGAGCCAGTCCATGTAAGTTACGACCGACCTCACAGGAACCGTGCTCAATTGAAGTCGTCAGATTTCGCTCAATTTCAGATATATGATAGAGGAAAATGTTCTAAGAATTTTGGTGAAAGCCCTAAAATTGACCCCCTTCCAGAAGGGGTGTTCTAATGCAACAGTATTTCATGAACCACTCGGCAGATTGGGCTAAAATTTTCAGCACACATTTAGCCCAAAGAGTTGTATCTGTCATAAGTTTCATCGAACAGTATCTAGCCGTTAGGACTTTAAGGGTTGCTCAATATACGAAAAATGGTTCATTTTCTTTCACTTTGTATTTCATAACTTTTGATTGGAGTTTCATTGGGGTCCAAAATCTTTTATAGTAGGTAGAGCACATATAAGTGTATATCTCTTGAAAAGTTCAACTCTCATACATGTTTGTTTCAGTCAAGAGGCTCCTCTCAAAAATGGGTTTTTGATAAAACTGTCGATTTTCAAAGTTAGTTTTCTCTCAAAATATGAATCTACCGGGCAGCTGGAAATCTAAAGTCGAAAATACATTCTGTGGGCTACAGCACTATGAAAAAATTAGCGTGGGATCTCCATGAATGACTGCAGGAGACTTATCGAAAACTAGTAAAAATGAACCTTTTTTCTATAAGAATGCTACCAGATCTCCACTACGAAACTCTTGAAAGACTGTTAGATATGGGATAAATTTTATTTAGAACAAAATCAGCATTCAAATCTCTAAAATCCTATACCAAAATATCTTTCCAAGAGAAAAAAAAATTTTTTTCGAAAAATTGCCGTACTCTGCCCCCCTCAGGCCTCTTGGGATCATACCTCATTCTCAAAGAGCCCTTACTCCCTACGGTGATTTTTCGAAAAAAAAAATTTCTGACTTTGGAAAGATATTTTGGTATAGGGTTCTAGAGATTTGAATGCTGATGTTTTCTAGATATAATTTATCCCATATCAAACAGTCTTTCAAGAGTTTCGTAGTGGAGGTCTGGTAGCATTCCTATAGAAAAAAGGTTCATTTTTACCATTTTTCGATAAGTCTCCTGCAGTCATTCATGGAGGGCGGATGTGGGTTTCAAGATAGATGGAACACAGATTCATTCACATCCCACACTCACACCCTGAATAGGATACTTTTACATTTCTAATTCGTAGAATTATTATCAAACTTCCGAACGATATGTAATATTATAGTGGGTTCCTTTGTTGCTTAGTATTTCACAGAATATCCAAAAAAGTTCGAGCACTATAGAAAAAGTTCATTCTCTCTTTGAAAATACTGATTTTATAGACTGAATACTCCAAACACTAAAGAATCGGAGAATGCCGATTTTGTACTGATAGATGGAGCAACAATTGAACTACAAAAAGTGTCTGGTTCTCCTTGTCCATAAGAATGGAGATTGGGAATAAAGAATTAAGTTAATAAAAAAATACATGCTAGAAACAAAAAAGAGGTTAAGATTGTCCAGACTGTTAGATTTCAATGTAAAATTTTGTTTGTAATATTAATGAACTAGTTCGACCATCTGAATTTTTAGGCAAGAATAAATATACTAAAAGAACACTTTAGTATGAAAGTTGATATTATCATTTGAATGCATATTTTCCTTTTTGCATTTACCTACACAAGAGCAATATTTGAGTTTCTGATAATGATGGTTCAGTTTTTATCATGCTTTGCTCTTACATAAAATAACGAATATCTGTGAGAATCTAAAAACAATATGTTAACTAATGTTTACCTGATTGACTCAATGACATTTCTTGGTGAATATTTTCGACGAGATTTCGAAGTTCATCGAGGGAACTATTTGATGCATCGAGACATTGCTCTGCTTGTGTAATCAAATCTTGCTTATGCTTAATGATTAACATTTGCTCTTCAACGATTGATTTTAGTTGATTTTTAGCAGTATATAATTCATTACGAATATTATCTAATTCTTGCGTTTGTTTTCTTATTTCAAGATGTGTATTCAAATGGGATAAGCAAACCAGTCGTAGACAACAATGGCATTCATATAATTCCTTAATTTTATCATCACATTTTTCATCGGCACATGCACCTAATTGTGGCATTTCTGAAATACAAAAAAACCAAACAATTATTCGTTGAAATATGATCACTGTCATTATCAATATTAAGTTTGAGATAATCGACTGACGTAGGAAACAGACTTATATGAATAATGAAAAATTTATCTGTTCACTTTTGAACAGAGAGGAGAAAAACATTCACACCAAACGTTTAAGGCACCAATCAGACTAAGGAAGAGACCTCTATCAAGTAAGTTGAATATCTAAATAATTCTTGTTCTCTGACAGATGGCTCTTATAACGTAAGTCGGTACTGCTTAAATGAAATGCCTGTAATGGCCTTTTTCTCTAGACTTTTCTCTATCTTTACCCGTTAAGTCAACATCATCGATTTGTCTAAGGATAAATTCTTCTGTTCGTTCTTTCTCGTTTTCTCTTACACGTAAACAAGAGTGAAACCACTGATATATCCTTATCGTTTCGTAATGGAC